CTCTGCACTGGCTCCAGTAGCTCCATGTCCTTGTGCTGTTGGTGGCCCCAGCACTGGAGGCAGCACTGCAGGTGGGGTGTGAGGAGAGCGGAGCAGAGGGGCAGAATCCCCTCCCTCCACCTGCTGCCCACGCTGCTCTGGGTGCAGCCCAGGACACGGTTATTGGCCTCTGTGCTGCCAGCGCACGTTGCCAGCTCATGTTGAGCTTCTTCTCCCCAGCACCCCAAGTCCTTCTCCTCAGGGCTGCTCTCCAACCATTCTCACTCAGCCTGGATTTGTGCTTGGGGTTGCCCCGACCCAGGTGCAGTATCTTGCACTTGGCCTTGTTAAACTTCTTGTTGTTCACATGGCCCCACCTCTCAAGCCTGTCAAGATCCCTCTGGATGCCATCCCTTCCCTTCAGCGTGTCAACTGAAACTCAAATCTTGGTGTCTTTGGTAAACTTGCTGAGGGTGCACTCATCCCACTGTCCTTGTCACCAACAAACAGCGCTGGTCCCAACACTGACCCCTGAGAGACGCCACTCATCACTGGTCTCAGTTTCAACATTGATCCACTGACTGCCACTCTTTGAGTGTGACCATCCAGCTAAGTTCTTATTCACCAAGTGGTCCACCCATCAAGTCTACACCTCTTCAACTTAGAGACAAGGATCTTGTGCTGGACAGTGTCAACTGCCTTGCACAGGTCCAGGTAGATGACATCAGTTGCTCTTCCCTTATCCACCAATGCTGTAACCCCATTATAGAAGCCACCAAACTGGTCAAGAATAGTTTTTGTTTTTTTTTTCTCTGTTATCTCCATCCTACACAGAGCTCTTCCTCTTAGCATGTGGAAGAAACCTCACCAGCGTTTAGTCCCTTTCCAAATATAAACTATTTCAGTGATTATTGTGCCACTTCTGCTGGCAGTTCCACAACTGCACGTTGCTTTTGGGCAAATGTCTAAAGACCATCTGCCCCTTCTCTCCAGCCTCACCTTCCTGCTACTTCCCTGCTGTCCCCAGAACTCTCATGGCTGTTTAATGTTGTTATGGAACAACTATGTGTTTTGATACTCAAGGGTGTGTCAGAAGTGGGTGGCTGGGACAAAAAGTGGGACTTTTTTTACCTGTAGGCTGTGTTTATGCCAGCTTAGCAACTGTGAAATCGCAGATGTGAGAGTTGGCTGAGCTGAAGGCTTTTTGCAGCTCAAAAGGGGAGTCTCAGCCTGTCCCTAGACTGCTCCTCTTCCCTTTCCTCTGCTTCCTCTCCAGATGCATTTTGCATCAGTGCTACTGGTTGATATCTTGCACCCTCTTCATCTTACTGAGCAGACAGGTTTTTAATGGTTTTTTTTACCCCCTTTGTATTAGACCAGACTAGTTTTCTGCCATTTTAGCAAACTGAACCAGCTCTCTGGGAGGTCAGATGAGCACTGACTGCAGGAGAAGGAGCAGGAAGGGCTCCTTGGGCAAGCAGTGAGCTGTTGGACTGAGTCATTGTCTCACTACAGCCTTGTGATGAGTTGGGAACAGACTGGGAGTTACTAAACTCCCAACTCAGCTGGAGACAGGCGTGGGGGGTTTCCTAATTAATAGCTTTCCCCATTGTTCTGTTGAGGACTCCTGATATATTTTCTGGAGGTATCTTTGTCATTGTTTCATTTCCTGTTTATTTTCTGCTAACTAAGTCTGTTCATTTAACTCCATATGTTTCTGTAGAATAGTATTAAAGCCCCAGTATGAAATCTCTTGTCTGTACTGGACACTTGAAAAACAAAAACAAACAAACAAACCCAAGAAAACCAAACCACAAAAGCCAGGTATTCTGCAGAGTTCATGATTTTATGGTTAGCTAATGCCTTCCCTTCTCATCTGTCAGGGTTCTTCCAGCAGTTTCAAGGATGTCCTCTCTTACAAGAGTTAAGGTTATCAGCTGCCCCTCTTGATAACATCATCTTTTTGTCTTCTCCTTCTGTCATTAACTGAAAAAGCAGGGTTTTGGTGTTTAGCTTTGAAGATCATCTCTGCTTCAATCCTGAAGAGCTGATGCGCCCAGATAAAACCTCAAACTCTTCAAGTGATGGTGACATCTTAACTGTTTTTTATGAGAACAGTTTCTCATTTTTCTTCTGAACTTCCAGACTTTATCATAATTTGTTCCTTTTTCTGCTTCATGTGTTACTCTGTCAGCCTGAGCACAGCACCTTGGCTATTTAGGCTTTGGAGACCTTAGCAATGAGTCTGATAAGGAGGAGTGTAAATGCCATGGTCTTTTCATCCCTGCTGTTTGACCTGTAGTTGAGGATGCCTTGTTAGATTAACATTTGATATGATAGCTGATGTTTGCTTGTGAAACACAAGTAAAGCTGCTTGCAGAACAACTCATCTAACAGCTTGCTGCCCATGAAAGGGACTATCCTAAGTCCTGCTTTGTTCCAAATTGCTCATCTGATTGCCTTCAAAAATTGCTTTGTTAGGCAAGTAATCAGTAGAACAGATTATCTTCAGGGCGTTGTGTGTGTGAGCTTTCTAAGGCTAAAGCTGATTTCAAGGAGACTGGTGATATTTAAGTGAAGATCCCTAGAACAATGGGAGGGTTGCTTCCTGGAAGAAGGGAGTCTCCACATGTGCTTGTAACTAAAATCCCACCTGGAGACAGGGGCTTTGGCACCAACATTAGTGTGCTGAGTCCCGTTGAATTCTAGATTACATTGGTATGTCTGCTTTCATGGGGCTGGAAAGGTAAAGAAACTAAAAAGACTGTGTTCTCTCTTTTTCCCTCTTTTGTGCCCTCTTTCTCTCTCAGTTCCCAGATTCAAGGCAGTCTAGTTATGCAGGAAATTACCATCACAGCAAAGATAGAACGTTGCAGCAGGGGAGAAAAATGAGTGACTGGGTCTGAGCCTTCTTGAGCTGAGTTTTATTGAGTTACCATGACTTGAGTTACAGATTGACTATGAAGGTTCTTGATACTCCCTTTGTCAGGGAATGCCTCCTAACATGAAGGATTGTCACTCATTTTTAAAAAAGAGCATGCTCCAAGGATGTGAGAATGTGTCTGTGAATGGAAGATCAGTGCTAGAAACCAGATTTCAGGGGAATGAGGATTCAAAGATTGTGACAGGAAAGATTTTTGAGGGCTGAGAAAGCTGGGGCAGGTGTGATGCAGCTTCCCCCTTTCCCAACACAGTTCAAGGAATGGAATGCTGTAATGTGTTATTAGTGCTGATAACCATGAAGGCATCAGCAGGGAGCAGGACTACAGAGGTTCATAGCTTCAGCATGGTTTGAAATAATTTAATTTAATTCTTCTGTAGCCTTACACCAAATATCTGATACCTTGGAATATACATGAGCTATCCAATGGTCAGTTACTACACAAACAAGGGAGTTTATTAAGATGGGTGATTCAGTAGCTGGGTGCAGACACTGCATCTGGTTAACACTTTAAAGCTGAAGCATAACATAAAAAAAAAAAAAGGAATTTTTTATAATAATTAGGAGAATCTGGGGTTGGTTCCAATTTCTGGTAAGTTCAGGTGACTCTTGAGTAGTTTGATTTCTGATGCAAGTCCTAAAACTCAGACATCCAGGCTGTGTTATTACATTATCAGTGTCCTGATCTCTCCTTTGGACAGTGGTGACAATTCTTCATTTGTTGGCAACCGTCCAGCTGGATCCTGATATAACTCGGTAGGAAAACTTGACGTTAGTGTTTACGAGAAATTTTGTAGTGGTTGAGACTGGTGACCTCTGTTAAGCGTGGATGTCAAGGATGTTGCTTCATGCATAGTTTTACTTGTGGAAAAAAACTTGATTTATTACAGTAGAATTAAGAATTATGACTGTGACTGTCCTCAAGAGAGATGAAAATACTTCCTAAATCTGTGACCTGTTTCCTTTCTTGTTTTTTTATCTTCTTTCTCTTCATCCTGTAGATATTCAATTGTTTTAATTTTATTTTCCCAATGACCAGAAAAGGTTTTCCTTGGAAGCTGTTCATATACCATATGTTTTGTCAGAATATCTTTTCATGATTTGCTAGAAGTCAGCACTGGCTTTCTAATGACTCAGGGATTGCAGTATAATACTGATAAGATAAAGTTTAATCATGTATTCTAAAGCAGGAGATTTAGGTCACAGGATGAGTTTGTTAGGAAGCTTCAATCAAGAACATATTAATTAGAGTGCGTGCTGCACACAGACAGATGTTTAAGTTTGAAATACTAGATAAAATTGAACTTTGGTTGATGCAGAGCACTGCAGAAAACTAAACTTATTTAATTTTAAGCAGTGCCTGTGGATTTAGGTCAAAGGTGAAATGTCAGCGTGTGGCAATGAACTTGAAAAACTTGCTTTTTCCCCTGCCCTGTTTTCCCAGTATGTTCAACAAGCATAAGTACCCACCAACTATGTGAGAGAGTTGAGTTAATACTCCTGTTTTAAAGTTTTATTATTAGGGAATAAAAAACCCAGCTTTTCAGGTGTTCAATGTTTGGACACGTAACGCTTCCCATACGGTTTTGCTTTTGCAGGAATAGATAGTCGATACAATGAAGGTTGCAGAGAACTGGCAAACTATCTGCTTTTTGGCTTGTATAACCAGAATAACAATGACTTTGAAAGAACTGGGTTTCCTGAAGAAGTTCTTGATGGTGAGTAACATACTCAGTGCTTTTAGCTATTCTTCAGTTTTTCTGGAGGGAAGGAGAGCAGAAAATGGGGTGTGTACCTCAAGAAAGAAAAAAATGTCAGTAAGTCTCTAACTGTGTGTATACATCGGAAAAATGGTTCTTAAAAACACTGCTGAACTCTTGGTTTTAAACATGCCGGCCTTTGATAAGTTCCCCCAAATGTTCTAAACCTAAACAGATGCAGCCCATTATGAGAAGTCCTAGTTCAGTCATGGTATGTGTCACAGAATCCCAGAATTGCCCAGATTGGAAAAGACCTTTAAGATCATCCAGTCCAACCATGAACCCAACACTGACAAGTCCCCTATGACTAACCCATGTCCCTCAGCACTGTGTCTACACGACTCTTCAGTCCCTCCAGGGATGGGGACTCCACCACTGCCCTGGGCAACCCCTTCCAATGCCTCACAACCCTTGCAGCAAAGAAATTCTTCCTCACATCCCATCTCAACTGCCCTTGGGGCAACTTGAGGCCATTTCCTCTTGTCCTGTCACCTGGTCCTTGGCTGAACAGACAGACAATAAGTCCGTGTGTTATCAGTTATTTGTGTGATCACCCCTCTGGAGTTCTAAAATACTTGGGCTCATTTTTACTTTAACATATTAACTCACTTTTGTAATATTTAAAAGGTGACTGGTCACCATGATCATAGATTGTTACTCCCTTATTTACATGCAACTTTGAATATCTACCCTGTAGGCTGTAGTGCTGATTTTTTTTAGTTGGAACAACCTTCTGATGTAATATCAGGCAGGAGCAACTATAGTTGACAGTTTTGTAAGTGCTCTGTGAGGACTCATCACTGACACTTTTGGCTTTTCAAAGGACAGGCTGATGCAAGTTCTGTGCAAGACTTGAGAATAAACCCACAATTGTTCTAAACAGTAAGAGGTACTGTTGTACTTGGAACTGTATATGGCTGCCAACTGTTTCTTTTTTTAAAGAAGTGGGGAATGATTGTATGTTCAAATAATTTAAAAAATTAATTTTCATGAGGTACATTACAGGAAAAGGCTTTCCTGTTCAGTTTCTGTGGGGTTTTTTTTGTGCCTATATAATTCTGTGTACGAAATCTTGATGCTTCAGTAACATTTATTCTGCTTGTTACAGATATAATCATATTAATAAAACCTGACAGTGTCCATCTGTACTGCAACCCTGTGAATTATAATCATCTTTTACCATATGTGGCATACTGGAGGAACTTGCATTTTCACTGTCTAACTGAAAATGAGGTAAGTGTAAAATAAATGCAGGTGAGAATAAACTTGTTAATGAGCTGTTATTCCAAGTGGAACTTATTTTTAACATTCCTTCCAGAAGTCTTTTTTATTTTTTCTAGTCAGCAAGAGAGTGATCTGCATATATATATATATATATGTGTATTAATCATTTTGCTAACGTGTGCAAGAAGAATATGCTTCTAATACTTCGTATTTGTTGGAGCATGAAGACAAATTGCTCCTCTCTCCCACTAATTACTATTGCTTTGACGTGAGTCAAATGATCTTTTAATTTGGGAAAACCATGTGGGTTGTGAGCAATGCAGAATCTTAATCAAGTACCACAGTCAACACTGAAATTTCCAAGGACAGCCTTATTTGCTACCAGAGCAGTGTTTTAATGCACTATATACCAATAGTTTTAGAATATTAGAAAAGATTGGCTTAGTAAGCTGTTTAAAATCAATAAATTTTATTCTGTAGTTTCATTTTAACTTTCAACTCTTTTTTTCAAGAGCTACTCATTGTGGTAAGGAAAAAAAGCTGAGTTTTGTCACTCACTTTCATTGGACAGTGGTTACTAGATGTGAGTTTCATCTTGCATTTAAAAGGCAGGGTACCCTTAGAAAAGTTATGTTTATCACAGTGAAGTACTGCTACAGGAGTAAAATATGAAAATATTGTTTGTGTAGGTGTAAAATAAGAACCTCTTTATTCCAGTTGAGACTGGAAATCCTTCCTAAATGCCATCATAGGAAGCTTCCCCCTCTGTTCAGTTCTGTGTAGTTCTTTCTAAATCAGGATTTTACTGAAATGTGCAGGGAGTGTGTTGGGAGACAGTGATGCTGATGGGTGAAGCTGGTGGAAGAATGAATGGGAAGGAGAAAAGCCTTTTGTTCCCTTGAGTTTCCAGCTTGAAAACAATGGGGCTTATGATTACTTGTGGTTTTTATGTGTCTGTCTGCTAGTTTAGATCACCAAATTATGAAATAATACAGATTATAAAGTACTTCTGGAGATCATCTTGTCCAACCTCCTGCTTAAGCCAGGGTTAGCGATGAGGTGTGATCAGATTGCTTGAGCGTTTTTGCAGTTGGATGTTGAAAGTGTCCAAGGATGATGACTGCAGAACTTCTCTTGGCTATCTACTCCATTACCTGGCTGTCCTAATAGTGAAGAAGTGTTTCTGTCTGCCCAGTCTGAACCTCTCTTGTTTGAAATCATACCCTTTGTCATGCATCCTACCACCACAGACCCCTACAAAAGAGCCTGGCTTCACCATCTCAATAACACTGAGATGTCACAAAGATGATGAGGGGCCTGGAGCATCTCCTCTATAAGGAGAGGCTGAGAGAGCTGGGACTGTTCAGCCTGGAGAAGAGCAGACTGAGGGGGGATCTTATCAATGTCTGTAAATATCTGAAGTGTGGGGGCCAAATGGATGGGGCCGGGCTCTTCTGGGTGGTGCCCAGTGACAGGACAAGGGGCAATGGGCACAAACTGGAACACCAGAAGTTCCAGGCAAACTGAAGGAAAAACTTAAGGAAACCCTTACTGTGAGGGTGTTGGAGCCCTGGGACAGGCTGCCCAGAGAGGGTGTGGAGTCTCCATCTCTGGAGATGTTCCAAACCCACCTGGACACTTTCCTGTGCAAC